CCTCTTGATGTAAATCCAATCCAGACAAGTGGAGTCCTCTGGTCAGACGGCTGGAAATTCCTCTGCATGAAATCATGTTGGTGGTCTCCCGGCTCAGTGCCTTCTGAAGAGCCATACAGTGAAATATCCTTCCGTACCACTAATGAATGCGCCCACCCACACTGGAGCTGGTGCCCCCTAAGAACTCAATTCAAGAACAACTTTTTAAACTCATAAATGAAATCAAAGGGCTCATTCTACGAGCTAAAGAACTTACAATTTTAGGCAGGACGGTTAATGGGTGGTTACTATAGGTTGTCCCCTTGGTTTGCAGTATACAGTCTCGCAAGAAAAAATAATAAGCAGGATACTGAATACATACACAGCATTCCAATTAATTAAATTTCATCCTCCTCCAATGAATACATAAATTGTTGCTACCCTGGTTACTGTACAGAGCTTGAGTGACTTGCTCAGCATCAACCAAAGGAACCAAAGTAAACTCACAAGATCTTGGTTTACTTTCCTGTGTGCAGACAAGATCTCCTTCTAGGTATTAAAAAATCACTAACCAAAGTCTCAAATTGGCCATGAAAACTTGAGCAAGAGCATCCAGGAAATTATTTTTAAGACTACTGACACTCAGCTCTCCCAAGGACTCCTGTTCGTGTGTGAATGAGCACTTGTCATTTCAAGTACAAACGGTGAAGCCTGGTGGCAACAGCCAGAGGACTGAATAACCCAGTTGTGCTATCTAAGCGAGGCGTGGATCTAATCCTGCGATGAGGAGACGACTCCTTCAGAGAGGCCCGTTATAAAATTATCGTGTGACATGGGGGGTGGAAGGAATCAAGCCCGTTGTAATTGAACTGACTTGAAATAATAAATGCACACACTTTCTTTAAACACAGCTTGCCACATCCTGAGAATCTGGAATCAATTCCTTCCCTTTCAAGAAGCTTAAAAGTGGTGGGACTTTGATATGGCATGAGCATGTTTGCTTCTGGGCTTACAGCCCTCACCAGCCCGTTCCAAACCTTTCAACATTTTTATATTACAAGACAGAAAAGTTAGGAAAACAAAGATGGAAAAAAAGAATCAGAAATTCAGGGAACTATTAAATCAGGGCAGCCTAGCTGCCAAATACCTTTGGTAAGTAAATGAATCATGATCAATAACATATTGCCATACAGACTTACAGAAGAAGGTTATCACCTGCTTCTGTGCCAGGCACAAAACATAATGGCGTGTGGCTAATGAAGTACTGCATGAATCCAGAAAAAAAAGTACTATTTTTCTCTGTAATGTTAAAGCATTTTACTTCAAAGTAATTTTAACTCATCCAGAAAAAACATGATTTTTTCCATGAAAACTTTGTCAAAAACGATAGGTTACTATGAAACGCTTCTCTTGACAATGTTGCATTTGTAAGAGGAAACTGTCTTGATAGAAGGAAACCTATTTTGTTAAGGGGATGTTTCAGCCCTGATTGTAAAGCTGCTTGCTTTATATATTCACATACTTGCCAGCAGAGGGTATCACAATCTTAGAAACACACAGATGTATGTATCATTGTGTCTAGTCATTTACATGGAAGAATTCAGACAGACACCAAAGCAAGAAATCACAAATCTTGTTTTCCTCAGTAACTTTTCCACTATTAGGAAAAAAAAAACACCATTTAGCTACTTAAAGGCTACAGACTCTGTTATTAATGCCTTCTACCAACCTCTCTCAGGATAGGAAATATTGCAATGACATAGCCAAGTGATGGCATCACTTGAAGTCTGAAATTGTTGCATGACCCTGGCTGTAAACCCTCCTGGGAGGAACACCAGCTTGGGCTTATCTTTGGCGTGCATTAGGTTCTCGTTAATTCTCACATCCAGTATCCTCATACTGCATAAATCTCCTTAATTATCCCAACCACTTCACACCACTTTTCCGCAAAGATTTAATAGCCACGGGCTGTAGTGAGAGCTCATGTTATGCAGACCGCATGATCTCTGCTAAACCAGTATGCTACGAAGAATGATCATATATAATTACACCTAACGCACACTTCTCACAGATAGAGATAGGCTGATGCTATAGCAGCCTGATATCCCACGCATTAATGAATTCACCTCCCTGACTCCCAAATTAAAAGAACATAATTTAAACAACCTGATGTTTGCTGCTTTAGCTTACTTGGTATTCAGCACTCCCCCTATTCCCAACCAAAAGAAATTAAAATTATTTTTTATATACTGGTCTGGATTCTCCATTCTATTTTTGATTTATTAACAAGTCTTTTTCTATTTGTGCATTTTGATCATGTGCAACTGATGTCCTGGACACTGGTGTGGCTTTCCAGCTTAACCCAAGCACTTGAGTCAGCTAGAGCTAGGAAGCCATATAGAGGATGACTATGAGACATGTATCATTACCTTTATCTGAGAGCTGGGGTATATAGGAACTGCATAAGACAACCACAAGCAGCAATCTGTTCTTTTCGGATCTTGCCTGCTCACATGCAGACAGGGAAAGGGACATTCTTCTAAGTAATTATATTTTATGTTTATAAAATGCTTTTTATTATTACAGAGCTATATACAACTACTTCTGCTGTTATATAGGAAAGATAATGCATCAGAACCTGCTGCAAAATGACATGTATCAGATCAGGGCTAGAGCCCTAGATCGCTTTTTGATCGGTGTTGCAATTTTAAAAAATAACAATAAAAAAGAAATAGGTTCATTAGGAAATATGTATACAGTGGTGCTGTCCTTTCCTTTTTGCACAGTCTTTTCACTACTCAAGAAATCTAACACAACTACCTTTTAACTAACTCATTGTCTGACATCCAAATCAGCCTTCAGAATGACTGCTGCAGGTTCAGATGAGCTGGATAGGAAAGTGGGTAAAATGTCCCTGGGGTAAGGGAAAAGCTATTCTTGCTTAGCCCTTGAAAACTGAAAGTCAATTACTCTGCTGAAATTGAGGTCTACTGCCCACATGGCATAAGTCTGCACTGATAGTCCCAAGGACTCCGAGGTCCTCAGGTACTTTACTCCGTTGATAGAAAGAACATGCTTATACTCTGCTCGCCTCTGCTTTATTCTCCTTGCACTGCACCACTCCAGCTGTAAAAAATTAAGCTAAAAGCTTTTCGCTACTTCAAAGAGGAAAGTTGAGTATCAGTATGTTCAGAGATTGCAATGTGTCTGGATATCACAGGAGCACGAACCAGCTAACAAAATGGAGTGAGGACGTTTGCAGGGAACAAAGCTTGTTGCTCTCCTGCAACTTAACATCTCTTTTCTCTATAACCTTGGTGTGCTCAATTGCCATTGGGAAGGATTTTCCTTTTATTTTCAAGAGTACCTAAACCAAGAGTTTGTTAGGCAGAACTAGGGAAAGCTCCCATTAATCACACTGCAGCTAGTAAAAACGTGGAGACCTGGTCACGAGCACTTTGCAGGGTTAGATTCCTTATCTCATAGTAGCGGATATCCGACCTTGAATTCCAGCTCTGGTTATAGCCAGATGCAGACACCTCTAGGACAGCCATTTATTACTGGCTGGAGCTGCCAGCCCTTGTGAGTCTGAGGATTTGCATACTGCAGAGTCACTGAAAAGCAACCCATTGGGATTACGCATGTGGACAGATACCCACGGCTGTTTTAGAATGCAAGGGGCAGCACGGCTGAATTTAAGATTTACAGTTGCGGAGCAGACCATAAAAATTCCTTGTAAATGGCCAAGATATTTTATTTTCGCTGTAACATTTATTTAGTCTAACTCTTAATTTATCTTCCTTTTACAACTTCCTACATAGGTTAGCTGAGCATCCCATTAGCATTAGACAAAAAAATAACTTTTTAGCATCCCTGAGAAGAGAAGCACTAAAATTATTTCCTTCTGTTAACAACCCAAAAATATTACGGAGCAGATTGTTATCTGCCATAAATCATCATTTACCCATTTTCATCTATGGGTCAGCCCCAGACAGCGAAATATAATCGCACAGATGAAATCTGTGGCAGAGCTGGAACCTGAAAAACTTTAGTCTTCTCTGAATGATATGATATGATATGATATAAGTGCATGGTGTTTAACATGCCTTAGGTCTCCGTCTGTGAAACTAGTAATATAAGGTAAGATGTACATCAGTGAGTGACTCCAAATATTCTACTAGATCATCTCGAGGGATACGGCAGAAATCCATTAGCTTTCATGGAGCAACAGGAGCTTAGACTAGCTGAAGTCTTGCCTCTCTGAGGGGAAAGGAATGTGGAGAAGAAAAGCAATTTCATTACAAAGACAGTGTAGGATGTGTGTAAATATGCATGGCATCCAGCTTCGGGGGGGGTGGGGTGGTGTATTTCTTTTGACACACAAACATGTGAGGGAAAGTCTGGAGCTTACAGAGTGCAATTACATTTCTTAAAGCCACTTCTTTCATTTAATTAATTTATGTTTAATGTCTTGATATAACTCAGTTTATATGACCAAATTAGCTATAACAGCGTAACATAATCATCAGATAAGTGGGCCAAGAGTCTGATGGCCACACCTAACAAATTATGAAGGGTCAGGGCATGGGTTGCTCTCAGCCAGTCATGCACTGCTAAATTTTTAGTACTAGCATGGGTTCGGGTCCAGTCAATTAGCACTCCTCTAAGCAGTGCCTGGGCAGAGTAGAGGAGGTAGCACGGGCCACCAGCCACTTCCAGTAAGCAGTATGGGATCCTGTTCTGGTGAGGAAGCTGGGTTGTATGGACAGGAGCCATGTCATGGCAATTGGTAAAGGGGCTACTGAACGCTCTGCAGCCTGTTTTATTTACAAGTATAAATGTAGTCAATTCAACTGTGGACATGTGAATTGAGTCCACTGAACCTACCATCTCAAGTTGATCAGCAGTGGTACCTGATGTCATATGGACAGAGTTTACAATAAAATGATGGGAGAATGGTAAAATTATTGCAATTCCAAGCACACAAACTCCCTGGCACATTGGGTGATGATTCTACTCACCAGCATTATCCTGCTGCTTGGTATTTTTGATGTATGCAGAAAATTTGGAGAAGATATCGATTCCAGCAGTGTTTGATTCCCGGTGCTTAGCAGCCAGCTTGGGGTACCTGAAAAGGAAGAAGCAATGTGGAGAGTAACATCTTCTTACCAGCAACATAGTGATGATTACAAACACAATTTACAAGAAGAAATAAAAAAGCCCTGTACCAGGAACTGCAATTAATGCTGTCATTTATCTCAAAACAACAGCTTGGCAAGTCCCTCTTAATAATATCTGTGTCTGTCAAGGCAGGCGTTTGGATAGTTACACAAGGATGGCTTCATGACAAAGGTAATTGCACTGGTGCTTTATGTGACCACGATCCAAGATACAGTGGCCTTAAATCAGAAGGAAGCATAAATTTCCAGAAAGGTGCAGGGGAGTTTGGCAGTCAGCTCTCTCTATTATGAATGGCAGTTGTGTCTAATTCCCTACACTGAAAATGTACTCCAGGATGTAATAGCAAGGCATGTTAGTATTACCCAGGTGAAGGAACATAAAGTTTTCAGTCTCTGAATTGTTTTTTATAGACATCTGGTGCAAAGGAATATATCGATTTGAAAGACCAACACAAACTAATACTCCTACTGATTTCAGCGGTCTTGGACCAGAGTATAGAAAATTTAAATATCTGATCTCTTGCCTCAGGACTGGCCTACAGCTGCTGATTCAGTTGGAGGTAAAACACTCCATAAGGAACCGAGCCAATTTTCATTGATTCATAGATTTTAAAGTCCAAAACACAAGCCAACAATTTTTTTCCCGTTATCCTTGTATTAAGTCCAAAATGTTTGACTAACTAAGGCATATCTGGTGAATCTGAACCTTTCCTTGGTAGCTTGTTCCAATGGTTAATCATCCATACTGAAAAAATCTGTGCCTTGTTTCTAATCCGAATTAGTTTGGTTATAACTTCCAGCCACGGGCTCTTGTCATTTCTTGACTAGAATAATGAGTACTTTTCTGCCTCCAGAGCCTCTCGTGCTCTGTAATCAGTTCCCATTCCAACCTTTCTAATATACCATACAGCTCAGAAACCTCCATTTTTTTTGCTGTAAAATGCTTTTCCTGGCACAGATATTTTGTGTGGCAATTCTCGGCATCTATTCCAAGTTATTTTTAGCTTTGTAAAATGTGGACACCAGACCCCTACAGAATTTTTCTAGTATTGGTCTCCTTAATTCTGCATACAAGGGCATCCTGAAATGTGTACAGAGAAAACATTCTGCAGTTATTAGTCATACAAGTAACCTTCACACATGGAAGTCATCTCACTGAAGCCAGAAAGTTTCATAAATAAATATTACTCCTGTAAGTAAAGATTGTATGAGGGAGTGCTTTTTAGGAACTCCTCTTAGGACATCTTTCATTCCTCGGAAATGGAATATTGACTGAAAAATCCCAAGTTCTTACTTTGGAGGTGCAAGAGTCTCTTCCAAGAATTCCTCAATCTTGTTAACATCTGTCTTGACTTCTCCATTAAAAGTCAAGAAAGGTGGGTGGGTCCCAGGAGCCAGATTGTGTAGGTCAGCCGGCTTTCTGCAGAGAGAGAAAAAGTCATGAAATCACTAATCTTTATGGTCAGGTAGTTATACATATTTATAGTTCCTACAAAATCAGTTTGCCCTTCTTTTTTTTTTTTCTGCAGTTTGTGGTTAGAATACTTTGAAACCACCCCGAGCACCCTGTTTAATATAAAAACATTCCACAAGTTAAAAAAAAAAAAACCCAAACCTGAATCCCAACTATTTTGTTGTGCACCACAGACTCTCTAGGCTAGATACAAATCTGATTGAACTTTGTGGGCCTTTCTATAGGGCAAACACTGGATCATATCACTATTTTCAATTAAACTGAACAATTTTTACCGCTTCAGGTCAACAGTGGTGACGTTGAACACAACTCCTTTGAGCCACAGGATCATGAAGAGACGCTGGGAGAATGGGCAGTTCCCAATGCTTTCTCCATCTATACCGGCCTGAGGGATGGAAAGAGAGGAAAAATAGATTTCAGACTGTTAGTCACTTACCTCCCTCAAGATGGAAAATCGGATGTTGAAAGAAAAATAACCAGCTTAAAAATAACTGACAGTGCCTGTTATTTAATATAGTTTATCATCAAAACAAGAATGGAGTTAGTTCAGGATTCAGCCTTTGTCAGGAGCTTGAGAAAGCAACCTGGTGCCTCTCCTGAAGGCAGCTCTGGGTAAAGGAAATGTGTCCCTTGCTGATGGCAAGCAACATCCAGGAGACTGTAGATTCTTTCAATTACTCTCATCCCTACAGGACTGCCTGCTTCGTGGACATGCTAGAAAACTCAGGGCAGGTTTTCTGCTCTATTTAAGCCTGTGGAGTCCTTCACTGTTTTACCATCCAAAATGCAGACTTTCAGATCTAGATTTAAACCCAAGCACTCCGGACATTCACTCGTTCTTGTTCACATCCAGTAAAGCAACAGCCTCAAACACAAACAACCAAATCCAGACAGAAATCTCCATCTGAACCCTTCCAAGGTTCAAGGCAGGTTTCAGCCACCGCATTCATTCTGTTCCTATCTCTAGTACCTAATGAGTTGCCTACAAACCACTACAAAACAATAAAAAACTGCTAGTGTTAGCATTGAGGAAACAGCCTGTTTTCTCCTCTAAAAATTTATGGTCCTTAGCCATGCAAATTCTGACTTTGAGCCATGGAGGGATACAAATAACACTAGCTGAACTGAGCCAAAGCTGCGTCCAAGGACAACATCCTTCTAGAATAATTATACTTGTGGCCAAAGCTTTCAGGACGATAATGGTTTTGATAGATTTCCATTTTAATTTGTGGTACCATTGTGTTTAAAAGATTCTTATAATCCTGGTGAAGCAACCAACCTTCCGTTGTTGACCCACATGGGTTGCGTAACTGTATTTTATGCACACAGTGTGTGTCTGAAAACAGCTGATGAAAGAACTAAGCAAATACATGCCCTTTTCCTTTGGAGAAAATATTATATTACTCTGTTTGCCCTCATAAATTTTATCTTATTAATATTCAAGCTGTGAGGTAGCATTTCTCTGTCTTAAAGAAGGAATCACTTCTAATTATTGCAGTTCTGTGAAACATTGACAGCACAGCTAGAAACGTTTTGAGATGTGTCCAGTTGCTACAAATTCAGGCCTTGCATGTAAAATATTTAGCTGAAAGATTTTCTGGTAGGCATCGTGAATCTTCCTCATGTCTTGAACGCAGCTTTTGATGATTCTGGGTTTAAAAACAAATTCCAGATTTCCCATCCACCAGAATATGGAGTGAGTGTGGATTCAAGGCTTGGAGACAACCCGTCGTAAAGTTTAGGGCTATGTAAAGAGTTTTTCTCTGGGTTCAGCTTCGATTTCAAACACTCAGACTCTATAGGTATTTGGATATGGGAGTACAGTTGGGCTGCACTTTTACCTGAAATTACGGATCTGCAATGTGCCTGCCACATGGCATATGCAAGAACCAGCAAACAATATGGGTGAAAGAGGGGTATGGCATGAGGATGAGCAAGAGAAGATGCATTTTCCCATCTGCCTGAGGTGTGAGTAGCCTAGTTTTGTAAATTTTTAGTAATTAAATAGTTAGCTCTGTTCTGCAAATTTCATGGCAAAACAATGACAATGTTACCATGGGAATACCAGGCACCACCGTATTGCATGCAATAATTGCTGCAAAGTCACATTTGTTGTTTTGGCTTTGGCTTGTTAAAGCATTGCCAAGAACTTTTAACTTCTTACCCTTCCTGAAAAGAGGCAAATGCTATAGGAGAAAACAGCGATACGACACCAGATTTCCCCTTGGCTTTTTCACCATCTCAATCATAATCATATCCTTCATAATGGAGTTGGCTAACTGAGTCTACAAACAATATATTACAAACTTAAAATTTGAAGAAAAACAGATTGACAACTGAATTAGAGGGCGAAAGAGTGCAGACGGAAGGGCTGATTCTCATCTTACCTTCTCTGGATTTACTTTGGCTTATAACTCCATTGAGTCTGATTCACTCTTCACCTGACTCCCTTCAAAGTGAGTGTAAAACCCTGGTTTGCCAAGTCCTGCAAATACCTTGCGAGCAAAGGGGTCTTGTCTCACAATAATGTGCAAAGTTCCAGCCCTCCTGCAGGTCTCCATCCTGCATGGAGGCAATCTCCTGTCCTCATCACCCACTTCTTGTGCTGCAAGTAACAATTTCACCTTTTTCAGGAATGAGACTCAGGGAGAACATTTCCCTGCTCTCTCCAATTACATATGCTCATACAAAGGTTAAGGGTTACCCAGATCTGCATCTTTTTACACGTTTTCCATCCTGCAAGGCAATCGTGAAAAACCCTCACAAGACCAGAGAGCATTATTGGGGGAACAAAGCAAATGAATGGCAACGAAGACACAGAAGCGACGGGTCACCTGAGGTTAAGGGATGCAGAAGTCATTGGGGACAGGAGAAAGATGTGGAGTCTGGAAGAAATAAGATTCACTTAGACATCAAAACTAAAATTAATTGTGGAGGTCAAACGAGGCCTCCAACAGCCCCAAATGGTCAAAATATCTTCCTAACACTTCCAAAAGAGTGGGAAACATTAATTGCTAGAGACACATTGGGAATAGACAGAGGAAATTCCAGAAATGAAAGATAAACTAAAGAAAAAGTACAACATGATCTCTGTTCAAAGCTCCTGGATCTGGAAGCCAGGCTCATGATTTGGGTGGAGTCTGACTCATGGGTTTTGATCTCATGTGACTGGCACAACTGAAAACGCTACCACAAATCACAAGGCAAACTGGTGACAGAGGAGGGAACAGAATCAAAATCTCCCCAGCAACACAATTTATCCATTAAATTCAGCTCTTTTTCTGCAGAAATTATAGGCAATGCTGTGTCGGTTTTGTGAATCCTTTCTCATTGCTTCTAACAGCAGTCAGTAATTCAACGTTCAGCACTCAGAAAGAGCAAAACCTTAGTAGGTAATAACTTCAAAGGCTTAACAGAGTGTCTCGAGATCCCTTGTGAAGTCGATTAACTTCCAGGAGGAGACGAGGAAGAACAGTGAACTTCCCAGGCTTAGTCACTCTTAGCTTCAAAGAAAAACAGCTTGCTTAAAGCACCCCGGTAGTGCCTAAATACAAGCCTATTATGTATCTGTCCAAGGTTAAGGGCTCAGAAATGCAGGAATTAAATAATGCCCTCATCAAGATCAAGAACTCAAACAGTGGATGGAAAGAAAAGAACAAATAATTGACAAGCTGGAGAAACACCATTTATCCCTGCTGTTATTCACAAATGAGCACAAAAGTTTTCTCACATAGCTTCCCTGAAGCACAGCAAAAGTGATCAACCACTTATAAAAAGGAGCAATTTGATGATATATGTGCTCTCCCTGCCAGTAACACTGGATATTTCTGATTTAATGATTGCAACTAGGGAGAGACTTGAGGCTTTGTGGGCACTAGGATCAAGGAAACAGAGTTTTTAAAGTGCGCTATAACTCCCAAAGCTGTGAAAGGGTTTCAGAGCCACCTTCTCTCTGCAGATGAGCCATCCCTCCTGTTCCTTATGGAGAAGGACCTCACCTGAAAAGACAAATTCCCAGAGTGACTTTGGAAGAGTAAAACAGATTCGAGGATTTGCTGGGTGAGACTCTTTGGCCAATGCTCATCCCACTGCAGTTTAACTGAGATGCCGAAGGGAAGGTCTCCTGTGCGGGCAAGGCTGGGATGCACATCCAAGAGAGGAATCTGGCCACTTTTCACTTTGACTGAATCCAATGAGTGTCTGAATTTAGGTGGGATGAATGTGGATCCCAGTAATAGATAAGCCTGGAATCCGTGGAGGCCTAATTGCTAGAGAATTATTTTGCTCCATCTTGGAAACATCACTTTCTGCTCCCATTGCTTCACACAAACTTACTCTTGTTAGATTAGCTACTAAAAAAAGATGCTTTTCTACTTAACCTCCAGCTGTTCAGGTACTTCACACCAATTGATGCAAGGTCCTGCCCTGGAACTTGGTATAATCACATCAGGAAGACCCCACCGTCATACCAGCTGCTTGCCTCTATCTGAGTAATGGCAAGAATGGACAAGATGTTCTCCTTTATTATTTATAAGGCGCTCCTCCTTAAATACTTCAGTTATTTTTAATTAATTAATTAAACCTTAAAGATATTTGTGTGCACAAGTGGGGGATGTATGTCACATTACCAAGGAACAAAATTAAGAGGGTTTCAGCAGGGGAGAAAAAAAAGTCTCAGTGATTTTAGGAGCTTGTGCCAAATATTTTTGTAAAGCAGCGGTAGTATCAAGAGCCTCCAACCACCGCACGGCACAGCTGAATAACACAAACAGGGAGCTCTTCTCAAGTTCAAGCTACTACTTTGCTATAAATGAAATAACTGGAATAAACTTCCTCACTTGTTCCAAAAATACTCCAACTGGAACATGCACAGTGACTGCAATGCACACAGACAACTCGTGGTGGGTTGACCCTGGCTGGACGCCAGGTGCCCACCAAAGCCGCTCTGTCACTCCCCTCCTCAGCTGGACAGGGGAGAGAAAATATAACAAAAGGCTCGTGGGTCGAGGTAAGGACAGGGAGAGATCACTCACCAATTACCGTCACGGGCAAAACAGACTCGACCGGGGGAAATAAGTTTAATTTATTATCAGTCAAATCAGAGTAGGATAATGAGAAATATAACTAAATCTTAAAACACCTTCCTCCCACCCCTTCCTTCTTCCCGGCCTCAACTTTACTCCCAAATTCTTGACTTCCTCCCCCCCAGCGGTGCAGGGGGACGGGGAATGGGGGTTGCGGTCAGTTCATCACATGTTGTCTCTGCCGCTCCTTCCTCCTCAGGGAGGAGGAGGACTCGTACTCTTCCCCTGCTGTAGTGTGGGGTCCCTCCCACGGGAGGCAGTCCTCCACGAACTTCTCCAATGTGAGTCCTTCCCACGGGCT